GACGTTATTTGTACAAATGTTAATTAATATTGTTATTAATAAAATGCGCCGAATTGATAAAAAATAATTAATATAATTGCAACGTGAATGCTGTACCTTTCATTTATTTATGAGGATTTATTTCGGGTTTTTGATCCGACGTTAATTCCATGCGAAGTAAATTCAAATTGAATTACCTTACGTAAATACAAGAAGCGAGGAGAGTGTTAGAACGTTCGTGCGAATTACATAAATACGATGCTCGTAATAACTCACGCAGCAAGCATTGATCCATAAAATGAATAGGAGTTCGCATAACACTTCTTATGAATTATTAAATAATTTTATAACTAAATTATATTTGCACGTCATTGCATTTCATCTACTTTAGTAAATTAAATTTGAGATTCTATGTGAATGTTTTGTTTGTACTTAATTTCACTATTCTATACCTTGATTTTCTACAGTTTTTGTGTCATGTTTCTGCGAAACATTTATAAACTAGAATTAGGTTGAAAATAATCAATTAATCGTGTGGTAATGAATTGCTCAACATTTCCTAATTCCATTATATTTTATTCCTAGAATTAATAAAGATAAGAAATGGGAAATTGTGGTCATATGCATAAATTCAAGGTGTGTCACGCAATAAAGATTATTATTATTTGTTTTATTCAGTAAATTAACCTTATATATTTATTTTTTTCATTGATTACATAATACTTTATTTAATTAAACATATTTATTGAGTCTGTTTTTAAGTGTGAAATAGAACATTGATAAAAGTCCATCATAATTGTGAACACCGAAATTTATTTCATTCCAAACTAATAGTTTTGTTCTTATATTACTTTATTTTTCTCTTAAATAACATTATACGTGGGTCTAACAAAACTTCGCTAAGTTGACTGGAAAAAAACTAAATAATAACAATTGTATTTTAATATGTTTAATTTTCATCCTTTTATAATTTCTTTAAATTTATAATTTGACATGAAATATCCTTAGACTTTAACAAATTAAGAAACAACTTTTGTTTTTTTAAAGAAACAAATGAATTAAAGCCAATTTAGCAAAATTTTTGTTAGACCTCACGTATTTATTGTTGCAACAACAATAAAATTGGGAACAAAAATGAGAATGTTTGAATCATTTGCAATATTAAATCAGAATCAGATCGAACGGAAAAATAATTGTTGTAAACTATATTTGTTCAAATTTATTAAATTCAACGAATTGCGTATGACATGAAACGAAATTCGTTTGTTGAAAGTAAATACTGCATAAAAAGTGAATAATAATTGTGGTATGTAACATAAATATATAAAAGGATTTTATGCCAATGGATTTTCAGTTTATCGAATAACATGGAAGTTTTTATTCATTCATTATATTTAAATCTAGTTATGATAAAATTGAATAACATAAAATCGATTTTATAGTTTATTTTTATCAAAACAACATACATTTTCCTAAAGTTAATTAAGAATTCTATTGGGATCATAATAATATATTTTTCTATTAATTATTATTAAAAAAAATTTAAGTGAATTAAAAAAAATTGAATGTCTTTTAGTAAACATTTACAATTTTTTTTTACAAATTTATTGTGAATAATCGAATAATGAAAAGAAATATTAATAATTATTACATTTATTCAAATTTCATTTAATTTTCTTGAAATTTGATTCAAGAAACTGAAGTTATTTGCTTGTAAAATACATAAAATTGTAATATGATTATTGGTAGACTGTATTCATAATTTAAATTGAATAGAACTGTGAGTGAAATCGTGGGTGGATAACATCAGAATTAAGTGTGAATCACAATTTCAATTGAATCAAAACGTCGATGTTGACGTTGATGTGGATGTGGCAGTATTTTTTTGTGTGTTGAGTGATAAATCGATAAATTAAATATAATTTGTCTGGACGAAAGGGCAAACAAATAAAAGTAAATGAAGTGAATTTATTATTATTATACTATATTATATATACATAACAAAAAATAGGAATTTGTTGAATAATGAGTATAGAATAATTGATGGGAAACAATTATGCATCGATCAAGGGCAATCGGATAAGCATTGATTGAGCTATTTTTACATTGAATAATTTCATTAACAATGCGTCCACTCTCTTCGTCGATTGATTAGAGAACCATTAACTGGAGTAATGATAGTAGAAAGAAACGATAAGGAATGTGAGAATCTTATCACATCCTCAGGGTCGGGACGCTTTTAATCAATACTGTCGTCACGTAATAGAGGAAGTAGTGGAGAGAAATAGAAAGGATATTTTCCAAATTTGCCGAATACCGAAAGAAGTTATATGCATCCACCTGTCAAGTGCAGACGCGCTTATGGGGTGACGCCGCGATTACGGATTATCCGTTCTTATTGGAATCCGATATTTTCGCTTTGCGGGGAAAAAGCATTCCAATTGAAATACATATTTTATTTTTTTTGTGATGTAATGATCTCCATTCAATCTAGCTCTCTCTCGGGATTAGGTGTTTTATGTTACCAGATGCTCCGTGGTATATCAAAAAAAAAAGCATAATCTTATTTTTATCCTGACACAATGCAAAGTGGATTAAAAGTTCAATGACGAATTTGATACTCATAACATGAAAAGTGTGCACGAACCTTTTTTATACAATGGAATTTATTGTTTGTTATTGTATATATTGTAATCAATAAATTATGTTTTCAGTTCTTTTTCAAAATCAGTAAGAAACTAAATCAATAATACTTATTGATTCATATTTTTTTGTAAGTTTTATGTAATATCTCAATAAATATAAAACTTTATACATATTTTATGATTACATAAGAATCTCTCTTACAGTTTGCATTTTTTGATATAACAACTATTGCTTTCTATTATTTAAAGACGTAATTTAGAAATATTTTTTTTGTAATTATTTTACATTTTTCTTTAATAAATGTTTAAAATTAAAAAAAAAATCATTGCATAATATTTTCGCATTTTTCGAAATTGTTATGTCGATAAATAAATAAAGTATTTACACTGTCTTTGAAGTAAATTAATGATAAATATATGCCTTTCTAATAAGCCTATTCGCAATTTTGTCCTATTTCCCATTTTCTTCCAATAAATTTTAAAAATTAAGGATTTTTTTAAAATTATTTTCACATTTTTCGAAAATGTTACGTCTTGACGTTTTATTTAACAAGTCAATAAATAATCAAAGTATTTACATTATCTTTGAAGAAAATTAATTATAAATATATGCCTTTCTAATAAGCCTATTCACAATTTTGTCCTATTTCCCATTATTCTCTAATAAATTTTCAAAATTAAGATATTTTTTTATAATTATTTTCACATTTTTGGAAAATGTTACGTCTTCACGTTTTATTTTTTTATTTAACAACTCGATAAATAAACAAAGTATTTACATTGTCTTTGAAAAAAATTAATGATAAATATATGCCTTTCGAATAAGCTTGTTTACAATTTTGTCCTATTTCCCATTTTTCTCTAATAAGTTTTCAAAATTAAGATTATTTTTTTTGTAATGTTTTCACATTTTTTGAAAATGTTACGTCTTCACGTTTTATTTAACAACTCGATAAACAAACAAAGTATTTACATTATCTTTGAAGTTAATTAATGATAAATATATGCCTTTCTAATAAGCTTGTTCACAATTTTGTGCTATTTTTCATTTTTCTCTAATAAATTTTCAAAATTTAGAATTTTTTTTTTGTAATTTTTTCATATTTTTCCAAAATGTTACGTCTTCACGTTTTATTTAACAACTCGATAAATAAACAAAGTATTTACATTGTCTTTGAAGTAAATTAATAATAAATATATGCTTTTCTAATAAGCATGTTCACAATTTTGTCCTATTTCTCATTTTTCTCTAATAAATTTTCAAAATTAAGATTTTTTTTTGTAATTTTTTCACATTTTTCAAAAATGATACGTCTTTACATATTATTTAACAACTCGATAAATAAACAAACTATTTACATTGTCTTTGAAGTAAATTAATGATAAATATATGCCTTTCATAAGCCTGTTCACAATTTTGTCCTATTTCCCATTTTTCTCTAATAAATTTTCAAAATTAAGATTTTTTTTTGTATTTTTTTCACATTTTTCAAAAATGTTACGTCTTCACGTTTTATTTAACAACTCGATAAATAAACAAAGTATTTACATTATCTTTGAAGAAAATTAATGATAAATATATGCCTTTCTAATAAGCCTATTCACAATTTTGTCCTACTTACCATTTTTCTCAAATAAATTTCCAAAAATAAGATTTTTTTTTGTAATTTTTTCACATTTTTCAAAAAAGTTACGTCTTCACGTATTATTTAACAACCCGATAAATAAACAAAGGATTTACATTATCTTTGAAGTAAATTACTGATAAATAGATGCCTTTCTAATAAGCTTGTTCACAATTTGTCCTATTTCCCATTTTTCTCTAATAAATTTTCAAAATTATGAATATTTTTTTAAATTATTTTCACATTTTTCGAAAATGTTACGTCTTCACGTTTTATTTAATAACTCAATAACTGCAAAAGTTAATTAGATCATTGAATATACATACCAAAGATAACATTATAACTTTTTCAATTAACCTATTTCTAGATGTGTGACGTTTTCCATTTAGCTGTAATTTGCTTTAAAAATTGAGACATAAATGTTTCCAATTATTATTTTTAAAAATTAATTTGATTTGTATTAGTAATTAACAGACTAATAAAAACTATAATTATTTGAAGGTTCGTGCTTGGAAAATTTTATTACATAACAACTCTACATATTATGTGCGTGCGTAATGAGCAAGTAAAGCAAACATAATTAATGTGCGTTTTTTTTTTGTATTATTATTATTTTTTATGATAATCGTTGTTAGCGCAAAGATTGATAGTTAATTATCGTTGGCGGCGTTCGGAATAATAACGAATCTGTTAGTTGATTAATAGTGTGAGGCTAATTAATATTGTCGTGTATGTTTGCTCTTTGCAGGCTTTAAAGCGATGGAGTGAAGGATGTCCGAAAGGGAGAACGAGACGCAGAGGTGGCTGGAACTGCAGAACGCCAGCCAGGCCTTCAACAACAACATCAGCGTATCTGCAGAGCTGCAGTCGGATTGGGGCCCGAAGAGGGATCCACTGTACATAGTCGTACCACTCTCCATCCTCTACACGATCATCTTCATCACCGGGGTGGTTGGTAACGTGAGCACGTGCATCGTGATCAGCAGGAACAAATCCATGCACACAGCCACGAACTACTACCTCTTCAGCTTGGCCATCTCGGATCTGCTCTTGCTGATCTCGGGATTACCACCGGAGATATACTCGATGTGGTCCAGATACCCGTACATCTTCGGAGAGACCTTCTGCATCATGCAAGGCTTCGCCGCTGAAACGTCTGCAAATGCAACAGTCTTGACGATCACGGCTTTCACCATCGAGCGATACGTGGCTATCTGCCATCCCTTCAAATCGCACACCATGTCTAAACTATCGAGAGCCATTAGATTCGTCATGGGTATATGGATTGTAGCTGTCCTCTGCGCCATCCCTCAAGCCGTATCCTTCGGCATAGTCTACGAGGAATCAGAGAACGGACACGTCTTCGAAGAGAACTACGTGTGCAGCATCAAGGACATGATCGTTCCCAAGCTCTTCGAGATATCCACCATGGTTTTCTTCGTAACTCCACTAACGGCGATCATCGTCCTCTACATCCTCATCGGTCTTCAGCTACGATCGTCCACTGTGGGCCCATCTCGCGGGAACAGCGTCAAGCTCAAGCATCGGGTCTTCAAGCACGCCGAAACCAATTCCACGCAAGCAGTCGTCATCGTCGACGGTGAAAACGGAGAAAAAGAACCTCAGCATCCGCAGGACGAAGAAGAGGGCAGAAAGAACTACACCGGGAATTCTCAAGCCACGAAGCACGTTGTGAAGATGCTAGGTGAGTACAAAATACACGGACCGGTCAAATTTCATACTCGTTAATTAATCCCACACATAAATCCTCGCGTAAAATTAATACGAAGAGTCTCACCTTCGCAATATAAAGTAACCCATCTTGTGTAACGCGCCATCACTCTTCCCATTTTCTCAGAATACTCATTACGTCTTACGGTATTTATTCTGTGCGTCCTTCCCTACAAGCATTAGACTCGTAATAACATCAAGGAGACGCTGAGCCGAAGGAATAATTTAAATAAGTTGATGCGAGGACAAATTAATATTTATAATGGAGAGTCTCCCGCATCGCGCATTGTAATCTCGGCTGTTAACTTTAAATAAACATACAGTTTAAAGGATACTAACAGTAACTTTAACAGACGTCGCAGTACAACTGAATTCCTTTTTACTGAATGTTAAAGTTTCCGGAAATTCATTAAAACAGTTTAATTTGATATTATAACAAATCTCACTTGATTTATTTCTGCGAATGTTAATGTTTCCGAAATATATCAAAAACTATTTAGAATCGAACAGAAAATCGTAAATTAATTTACATAATATCCTTATTATAATGAAATCTGCTCTTTCATCCTCAAAATACGTTCGAAAATCTTTTCTGCAAACGTTAAGGTTTCCGAAATATATCAAAAACTAATTAGAATCTAACAGAAAATCGTAAATTAATTTACATAATATCCTTATTATAATGAAATCTGCTCTTTCATCCTCAAAATGCGTTCGAAAATCTTTTCTGC